ACTGAAAAATTCCAGGAAGTATATGAACAGGAACCAATGGTAATGAAGAAGGAAATAGGAGCTGCATTGAAGCATTGGGTGGGGGGAAAGACTCCAGGAATTGATGAGATACCAATTGACTTGTTTCAATTAGCGGATGCAGCCTTGGATGTACCAGTCTATGCCAGGACATTTGGAAGATTGCTGTCTGGCCAATGGATTGGAAGAGACCCATATTTAGTCCCAAGAAAGATGATTCAGTTGAATGTGGAAATTATGGAACAACATCATTGGTATCACATGCAAGCAAAATACTGCTGAAGATCATTAAAAAATGTCTAGAACAGTACATAGATAAATGCCAGAAGTTCAAGCAAGATTTAGAAGAGGCCGTGGCACCAGAGATATCATTGCTGGTGTCAAACGGATCCTGGCTGAAAGTAAAGAATACCAGAAGAATGTCTATTTGTGATTTATTGACAATACAAAGGTGTTTGACTGTGTGAATCAAGACAAGTTGTGTCTGGCATTGAGAAGAATGAGAATCCCGAGCACCTGATTGTGCTCATGCAGAACTTATACCTGAACCAAGAAGCTGTTGTGTGAACAGAGCGGGGATGCATTGCATGATTCGGAATTGGGAAGGGAGTGTGTCAGGGTTGTATTCTCCCTCCATACCTATTGAATAGGCTGGGCAAATTATCCAAGAAGCTGGACTATATGAGGAGCAGTGTGGCATCAGGATTGGAGGGAGATAGATCAATAACTTGCATTATGCAGATGACACAACCTTGCTTGCTGAAAGTGAGAAGGACTCGAAGCATTTGTTGCAAAAGATCACAGAATGCAGCCTTCAGTGTGGATTGCATCCCAATGTCAGGAAAACAAAGTTTCTTACCACTGGACCAATAGGCAGTGTCATGATGAATGGAAAGCAGATGGAAACTGTCAACAGCTTTATCTGAGTGGGGCCACAATTAATACCCTTAGTACCAGCAGTCAGGAAATAAGTAGACACATTGCACTGAAAATATCTGCAGTTAGGGATCTTTCCAGATTATTGAGTAGTGTTGTGAGTTTGAATACTAAGGTGCATCTGATTCAGGACATAGTCTTTCTGATTACTAGCTGAGACAATGAATAATGAGAGCTTGACAATGAATAAGGCTGACAGAAAAAGAATTGGCACCTTGAGCTGGGATGTTGGAGAAGAGCACTGAACATCCCTTGGACAACCAAGATAATGAAAAGATACATCTTGGAGAGGTTGCAGCTAGAGTGTTCTTTGGAAGCACAAGTTATGAGGCTTCACCTCACATACTTTGGACATGTTGGTAGGAGTTGTTATTCCTTTAGAAGGATATGATGCTGGGAATGGTGGACGGTAGATGAAGGAGAGGAAGACCCTCAGCCAGGAGGATTGATACAATGACTGCTGCAAAGGGCTCTTGTCTGTCAGGAAGTGTGAGGATGGTGCAGGATAGAACAGAGTTCAGATCTTTTGTTCATAGGGCTGCTATTTGTCTGGTTTGACTCGATGGCACCTTACAGCGACAACAACATCCTTGATTTTAAGGATAAATCTGGCTGCACTTCTTCCAACAAAGATTTGTTTGTTCTTTTTATAGTTAATGATATGCTCAATACAATATATTAAATACTCCTCACCAATTCACTACAATTCAAAGGCATTAATTCTTCTTCATCTTTCTTATTCATGGTTCAATTTTCAGAAGCATATGAAACAATTGAAAATAACTTGAGTTGGGTCAGACAGACATTAGTCTTTAAAATCACATCTTCCCTATTTTTAGAACTTCCAAGTGGCCATTGGCCTCTGATTTGCCCAATACAAACTTATTCATATTAGTATAAAATCAATAAACCAGCCCCATGCATAAGTTTGATTTAAGAAAAAGTTAGCCAATTCTTGAATCAAAATGTGAGTTAGAACAGTTAAATATTAAGTTATGGAGCTATTTTAATAAATCTACTTTATGTCTTTAAAAAAACTATTCAGAAAAGTATATTAAAAATTATGTCCAGTAAAGTCTAAGTTGTTATGTGTTGTTGAGTCAAATACAACACATAGAGACCCTATTAACAAAAAAAAATTTGAACATTGTCCTATTTTGTGCCATCCTCATCACTATGACATACTTATGCTCATTGCTGTAGTCACCATATCAGGCCATGGCATTGAGGGTATTCCTCTCCCTCTCTGACCCCCGCTTTTCCAAACATGATGTCCCTTTCTCTTCGAAGCCCCTCCTCTTCAAAGTACTGAACAGCAGTGGTGTCAATTTGAAGACTAAAATGAACCCGATTCAGGCCATAGTCTCTTCTATGCATCTGAGAGCTGGACAATGAATAAGGATGATAGAAGATAAAGTGATCCCTTGGAGTTGCAGTGTTAGAGAAGAGTACTGAATATCCCATGAACTGCTGAAAGAATGTACAGGTATCCCTTGGAAAAGGTACAGCCAGAGTGTTCCTTGGAGGCAAGGATGGCAAGCTTCATCTCTCCTACTTTGGACATACTGCTAGGAAAGCCTATTTCTTGGAAAAGGATTATCATGCTTGGAAGGGCAGAACATCAGCTAAAGAGGGGAAGATATCCATTTAGATAGATTGATATGGTTATTGAAGAAATGGACTCAAGTATATTAGAGATGGTCAGGATGGCACAGGCTAGAACGGGATTCAGATCTGTTGTTCACAGGAACACTATGAGTTACACTTGACAGCATCTGACTATAACAACAACATACTGAAAGTACGTGAGATGAAGCTTCCCTATCATGCCTGCAAGGAGCTCTCTGGCTGCACTTTCTCCAAGACATATCTGTCTGTTTTTCTAGCTGTCCATAGGATGCTCAGTGCTCTTCTCCAACACAACTCAAAGGCATTGATTCTTCTGTCATCCTTGTTCATTGTCCAGTTCTCAGATACATAGCAAGTGATTGGAAAAATGTCTTGAATCAGGCACACATTAATAGTTTCTTTTTTTAAGTTTTAGTTCTTTTATTGTGTATATTATTTTTAATTCTTGTAATCATATTATCTTTTAAAATGATAGTAGAAAAATACACAGCAAAAATTTGCCAAATCGACATTTTACATACGCAGTTCAATGCTCCTGATTATGTGCATCACACTGTGCAACATAACAAATATATTTCAGTTTTAAAGCTGTGAACTCCATTGGCATGAAAATTGCCTCATGAATCATGAAAACATATGTAATAGACCCATTTTATTTGCCATTAAAGCCAAATATACGTTGGAGCAATTTTTTGCCTGAATGATTTTTCACCTGTATGTATGTTTAAGTCAGTCTGTAAATCAGATTATCTATTAGTGTTGTTAAGATAGAAGAAAATAGTTGCATAGAGAATAAGGATAGTAAAGATCTTTAATTTATACTTCCAAATCAGAAGTAATCATTTTAATGTTGTTCTCTGGCAGAATTTTCCACCAATGGTTGAATGCTGTTTTAGATGCGTGAGAAAGAAATTTTTCAAAGAAAAATTCTGAAGCTGGTAAATGTTTCTGATGTCAAGAATCTGTTAAACTTGAGGGTGAAAATCAGTAATCAGGATGACTCAGCTCCAGAGTAATTGACAAATGTGTAATTTTAACCTTCATTCCAGTTCTTCAGATTGTGATATTCTAGGCTCTGTGTCTAGTTTGGATGTAATGGATTTCCCTCCCCTCCTTTTTTACACCTTAGCCTTTTAAACTGACATTATTACTCTTCAGAGGTTTGGAAAGGTCCCTGACAGCAGACTTTTCCAATACCATATATCTTCTGATCTCCTGCCTTCCTTTTGATTCTGGATTCAAGTAAGACAAAATAATTGATAATTTAAATATTTTCTTCATCTATCACGATGTTATCTATTAGCCCAATGGCGAGGGTTTTTTTTTTGTTTGTTTTGTTTTTTGATGTTGAGATGTAATCCATATTGTTGACCTTTGTCTTCTGAAGCTAGTACTTCTAGTTCTCTTTGCTTTCAGTAAGCAAGGCTGTGTCATCTGCATAATGTGGGTTGTTTATAAGTCTTCCTCCAACCCTGATGTCACATTCTTCTTCAGAGTCCAGTATCTCAATTATTTGCTCAACATACAGATTGAATAGAAGGATCCAACTTTGATGCACACTTTTGATTTTAAACCATGCACTGTTACCTTGCTCTCTTTGGATAACAGCTTCTTGGTCTAGGTGTAAACTTTGTATAAGATAATTAAATGTTCCCATTTAAAGATGCTCATTCTTCTCAATGTTAGCCATAGTTTGTTATGATCCACATGTTCAATTGCCTTTAACACATCTAGACATTCTTCTGATATTCTCTGCTTTCAACCAGGACCTATCTAATACCACAATGATATCCTTGGTGCTATGACCTTGTCCAAACTCAGCTTGAACTTCTGGAAGCTCTCTGTCAATGTACAGTTTTAGCCATTTTTGGATGATCTTCCACAATATTTTGCTTCCTGAAGCAAAACTAATAATGTGATATTAGTGATATTGTTTGATAATTTCCACATTCTGTTGGCTCTTTCTTGGGAACAAGAACAAATATGGATCTCTTCCAGTCAGTTGGCTAGGTAGCTGTCTTCCAAAATTTCTGGCATGCACTGGTGACCAAATGAAAATTCTATGTGACAGGAATTCCTCATATAGTAGTTTTAGTGTCAATCTCCCTTCCTTACTTCCTTATAGCATATAAAATTGATAGAATATTGTTTAGATAAAATATGATGATAATACATACTTCAAAGAATGATTATGTGATAGTCAACAAGCATATATGAATTTATGTAACTAGAAAGTGACTATATTTGAATAACATATGAATTTATACTATAGTTTTACCTTTAGTAAATGAAGCCAATCAGCAATCCTTAGATCATGGAACGATGACATGATTTTAGAATTAATAATTCAGTATCATAACTGCGATACGATTTGACAAGTATTATTCTGGTTATCAGGCTGCTGTTATTCTACTTACAGTAAAGTCACATTTGAAGAAACTGATGGGACAGCTCGCAGCTGGGCTTTATCACAGGCAACCTCCCTACCACGACAAAGACATTCCTTTGGCACAGTCCCAAGCACTGAAAAAAGAGGAAGTAGTAAGACATGATAGCAGTGAGAAACCAGGGTGAAGAGGGTTATGAGAAGATAGAAACAAAAAACTGTGAACAAATTATTAAATTATTAAGTACAAAAATATATTTTCATAAGAAGTTTGAGCAATATTTTTAACACAAGGTTCTGAGGTTGGGCATTTAATATTAAAATAATACTGGAGCATTCACATTTGCAAACATATATTTATCAAGTCATGTCATTTTCCCCCTCTCCATCAGGTGCCTAATTTTCTCAATTTGTTGCAAAATGAACAATCACCTTTTACTCATGTGACAGGATAGTTATATCCAGGTCTGATCTGGTGGAGTTTGGTGAAATTTTATGTACAAATTGAAGCTATTATTTAAAATCAAAGTTTTATGACTAATATAATCAAAAGCTCTAATGATGGGTCACTCTTAGAGAGAAAAGAGAATAACCAAACACTGAACTGTGTTGTAATTTATGCAGTGTTGGTCAAATCCACCCTCTACTCTGGCTTTTTAATCTCTGAATTTTTTTTCTGTTTCACTTCTTTTTAAAAAAATTATTTTATTAATTTTAATAAAATATTTTAAAAAAGATTTTGGATTTCCATTCATTCGCTGTTACATAATCTCTGAATTTTTAAGAATCCTGCAGAGGTCTTTAATGGCCTTGCCATTTTTTCACTTTCATTTGGTTATGTTTGGGTATATTTTGGCATATGGCAGACACAGAAGAATTTCATGAAACAACATTTGAAAAAGAGCCTGTGGTGATGAAGGAAGAAGTTCAAGCTGCTCTGAAAGAATTGGCAAAAAAACAAGGCCCTGGGAATTGGTGGCATACCAACTGACATATTTCAACAAACAGACGCTCAAGTTATGCCAAGAAATATGGAGGACAACTGCCTGGCCAACTAACTGTCTATTTGTTCCCATTCCAAAGAAAGGTGACCCGGAAGAGTGCAGAAATTATTGTACAATATATTTAATATCACATGCAAGAAAGATTCTGCTGAAAAGTGTCCAAAAATGACAGGAGCAGCCCATCAACAGAGAACTGCCAGAAGTGAAAGCTGAGTTTAGAAGAAGTCATGGTACTAGGGATATGACAGCTAATGTTAAATGTATCTTGCTTGAAAGCAAGGAGTACCAGAGGAATGTCTATCTGTGTTTCATTGACTATGCAAAGGCATTAGACTGTGTGGATCATAACAAACGGTGGCTAACTCTGAGAAGAATGGGAATCCCAGAACACTTGATTGTGCTTTTGTGAAATCTATACTTGGACCAGGGGGTAGTTGTCAGAATGGAGCAAGGAAACACTGAATGATTAAAAATTGGGAAGGGTGTACGCCAGGAATGTGTCTTATCTCCATACCTTTTCAATCTATATGCAGAACAGATTATCTGGGAGGACAGGCTGTATCAAGAGAAATGTGGCATCAGGATTTGAGGAAGACTCATCAACAATCTGTGTTACACAGATGACGCAACCTTGTTTGTTTCAGAAGGTCAAGGTCTGCAGCCTTAAATATGGATTGAGGTTCAATATCAGGAAAACAAAGATTCTCACCACTGGGCCCAATGACAGCATCATGATCAATGGTGAAGAGACCGAGATGGTTAACAGCTTCAGTTTGCTTGGCTTCACAATCAACACTCTAGGTACTAGCATGCAGGAAATTAAAAGACGAATTGCACTGGGAAAGCCTGTTGTTAGAGACTTCTTCAAAGTATTGAAAAGAGCAACTACGTCAATCTGGAGACTAAGGTGCACTTTATTAATGCTATGGTCTTTGCAATTACTTGCTATGCATCAGAGAGCTGGACAATGACTAGGGATGCTAGAAGGATAATTGATGCCATTGAGCTGTGGTGCTGGAGAAGAGTATTGAGTATACCATGGACTGCTAAGAAAATGAACAAGTTTGTCCTAGAAAGGGTGAAATTAGAATGCTCCTCAGAGGCAAGGATTCTGAACTTTGTCTAACATACTTTGGACGTGTTGCAAGACAGAACCAGTTCCTTGGAGAGGTACATCATGCTTGGGAGGGTGAAGGAATTGTACAAGAGGGGAAGACCCTTGGTGAGATGGGTTGATTGAGTGACTGGGGTAATAGGGGTAGGTGTGTCAGAAACAATAAGATTGGCATACGATAGAGTAGGGTTGTAGAACATAGGGCCGCTATGAGTTGTAAGCAACTTGCGGCACCTAACAACAACAACAACAATATAAAATTTGACTTAAGAGAGTGAACATTTCTTCTCTACTATCCTGAGTTCTAGAATGAGGAGCAATAGTATGTCTTTGGTTATCTTGTGAAAATGTGGTGATAATCTAAAGTAAATGATTCAACATCTATAAAGTAACAGAGGCATACAAAGGGGGATTTTTCCCAGGATTCTTCACCTAATGTAAAAAAATCCCAGGGTGGTGAGACTGTAGATTTCAAATTGTTATTAAAGAAGAAAGTCAATTCTACAAACAAATCAAATAAATAAAAGTACTTTTGTCCTATGCTTTAATCTGTTGTTGTTGTTAAGTGTTGCTGAGTTGTAGGCAAATCAGAGTGACCCTATAAAAGAAATACCTCAAAGTTACAACTCTCTTCACTAAAAGTCTTCTACCTCATTAACAATACCCTTTTCAGTTAATAACAAACTGGGGCTGTGAAATCTATCAGCTTTCTAATTGTTAGAATTCTTAGCACAAATCTAGAGTTACGTCTAATAGCTGTTCCTCTATGTATAGTCAGTCATAATTTGCCCATTACTACTTTTCAAGGGAGCTCTGATGGCCTAGAGGCAAGAAGCTGAGCTGCAATTCTGAAGGCACACAATTTCAGTCTACCAGCCGCTCTGTGGGAGAAGAATGGGCAATCTTCTCTTGTGTGATTAATTGCCTCTGAAAACCCATCGGAGGATCAATGATGGGTCAGTTCTGGCTCAATGGTAAACAACAAATACTTACAACTTTTTAAATCTTGCTTGTTTAATCTGTTAATAAAGTTTGTGTCTGTTAGTCTCCAAGTATTCTACATTGATAGCTACCATCTTATTCAACCTTACCTCCTAGCCTTGTGCCTATCAACCCACTTGGCATAGTGGCCAGAGCATTTAGGGACCTACAGAAGTAGAGCTATGGAGATAGTCTTAGCCCCTGTGGGCAGGACAAAACCCAACTCCAGCATGAAGTAGCTAGAGAGCCATCATTGCCCCAAATCCTAAAACATTGTAGGGGCTTGATCTCTCTAGGAGAGAATTTTAGGATTAAAATCAATGATATGGGGAGGCAAAAGTTACATCAGAGCCAAGAAGCAGATACTGATATATATGCACCTAAAAATAGTCCTTTGGCAAGAAGCTGTGCTACAATTCTAAAGGCATGAGGTTTGAATCCACCAGGTGCTCCACTGGAGAAGAAGAGGCAATCTACTCCTGAGCTGGTCAGATCCAATTCAACGGTACATAATAAGAAAGAAAAAAAAATAGTACTTTGGGTGCATGAGTGATGTTGGAAGAAGTGGAAACTTTGTGCATAATGAATGACCTCAGAGAACAGGGACCAGAATGAGATTTACCCACTAAAACTTGGAGCTCTCGTGGCATTGTCTCATTGGCCCAGATTCCAGTCCCCAAGGCCTGCCTAGAGAATGAGGCCGGAAATAGAGCCTCACTTTAGTAGCAAAAGGCTTCTCTCCTCAGTATTTCCTTGCAAGGAAGGAGGTTCATCCCTTTGGGGGTGTAACTTTCTAATGAATCTGTATTATTTTATCTAAAAAAACCCCAAAGTACCAGAAACCCCCACACTAAAAAAAACACACCAAAAACCCAAATGAAAAAGCTCACTAAAATCCCTAGGATGCTCAAGATTCTTATAGGAAATGGCATTGCTTTTTATAACTCTCCCCTCTTCTGTGTTTTGTTGAAACTTAAGGGCTGAAGCCGGAGGTTGAACCTTGGGAGGTGAAGCCTGAGGAAATCTACAGGGCAGATTCTCAGTGATGTGTTTATTGAATGAAACAGTACAAAGGGATTATTATTATTATCTTCTTATCAACTTCTTCTCCAAGGGAAAAAGTTGTGGCAGTCTGCGTCTGGAAAGATTTACAGCCTTGGAACATATGTGAAGTTCTCCTCTGTCCTACAGGGTCACTATGAGCTGCAATTGACTTGATAAATCAATAAGGCAGTAAGTTTCAGGTTTTGATCTAATCTATGTAAGGAGAAAAACTGAAGTTATCAATAATGACTACATTTTGCTTGGATTCATAACAAACACCTATGGTATCAGCGGTCAAGAATTCAAGACATGGTACTTTGGGAAAATCTGCTGTCAAGAAGGACATTAGTTTAATGAATAAGGTGTGCTTGACCCAAGCCATGGCATTTTTCAATTGTTTCACAGGCATCTGAAAGTTGGACAATGAGTAAGGAAGACTGAATAATAAGAATCAATACCTTTGAATTGTGATGTTAGTGAAGAGCATTTACTATCTCATGGACTGACACAACAACAAACAAATTTATCTTGGAGCAAATGTAACCAGGTTGCTCCTTAGAGGCAAAGATGGCAAAATTTTGTCTTACATAATTTGGAATAGGAGGGGCCACTCCTTAGAAAAAAGCCTTCACGCTGGGAAAAGTAGAGGGTCAGAGGAAGGGAGGAAGAACCACTCCCCACCCCCAACACACACACACACACACACACACACACACACACACACACACACACCATGGATTGACACAGTGACTGTAACAGTGGGCCGGAGTGTATCAGAGACCATGAGGACGGTGCAGGATAGGGCAAAGTTCTGATCTGTTGTTTATGGATCACTATGATTTAAAGTCTATTCAATGGCAGCTAACAACAGCATATGTAAGGAGACCTGGTGGTACAACAGCCAAGTTCTCGGCTGCTAACCAAAGGGTTGGTGATTCAAACTCTCCAACTTCATGGGAGAAAGGAATTGGCTATCTGCTCCCACAAAGATGACAATCTAGAAAACCCTGTAGAGCAGTTCTACTCTGTTACATAGGTTCACTGAGTTGAAAATTGATTGGGTTAACAACTAAAATCAATATAATCTGATTCCTTTCTTAAATGGGTGCTAGTGAGAGTCCTATGGATTGCTTCTCTCTATTTACTTCTTTTTTGTTTTAATGAGAGGGGACAGTGTTATCTTTTTCAGAGTTTCAAACTGCCAAGCTTTCTGTTAGCAGCCCAGCACTTAAGCCACTATATCACCAAGGCCTCTTCTATCAGGTGAACCTGCATCCCGGCATTTCCTGAAAGTGACCCCTGGTCTCCAGAAGTGCACTGGTGACAAGATGAAATCAGAGATATGCCCAAGTCAACCCAAATGAGCATGGACTTGAAGTCAAGAGGACCAGACTGACAGGCACAGGACAAGTACATTCTCCCCAAGGTTACCCCCCTTATTCTCTCAGGGGAGCTCTGGCAGCTCTCTACATTTATTTCTGGAGCCTAAATTTATATATTTGAGTGTCTACATGAATCAAGCAGCACAAAAGATATTTTTTGACACTTAAAAGGGCTCAGTCTCTTGTTAACTGTTGCATATAGATTGGGGGCCACCTGTGACCAAAGCTAGATCAACTTTTTAGGAGACAGAAATAATAATAAAAAAGCATACAAATATAAATTTGAAAAATAACAGTAGCTAATTTAAAATATTTCAAAGTCTAGATTAAACAAAGTTTTCTATGAAATTGTCCTCTTTGTAGGCTTCTAGTTTTTTGCCTTTATAATAGGACTCCAGAGAATAGTCAAATGTCTCCCTGGTGAAGTAGAGATCTCTGCGGCCACTGATGAGCACATAGCCTGTGAGTTAATAAAATGATAATTTCCTCAGCCAGACATAGGTGACAGGTATGTTTCCTCTCCTGTTACAGAGGTCTACAAACTCATTTAAAGAGTAATAAAAGTTCAAGATCAGGCTTTATGTAATGAGTGTCTACTAAAAACTTTTACACAGTTCTGTGGTCCTAAGTGTCTATTTTGGCAACAATAATCTGAACACTGATTCTGTCTCTTTGAACTGATGTCATGTGTGATGTATGTGATTGTGTGTGTATGCTGTGTACAGGGCATGGTGCATGCTAGTAAGGAAAATGACAGTAACAAGGATGAAAGTAGGAAGAATAGAAAATGCATTAATGTGAACAGCACTAATTTCAGTGTGATTTTTCCATTCAAAAAGGTGGAATTAATGAATGTGTCCATTAGTATCTTATCGGATTATGCACACATGCTAATTGAATTTATGAAAAAAATGGTTTTTAGATAATATTTGAACTGTGTAAAAAATTCCCAAACTCAAAAGATTGAATTATGCTCCCCCTCAAAAATTATTATAAATCATAATTTATATAGGGATGGCTATGGAGCAAGGATTGAATTTGTCAGTTATTTAATCTTGCTAGGATCAATATTCGACACCTTTGGTACCAGCAGTCAGGAGATCAGGAGACTTATTGCATTGGACAAATCCTCTGTCAGAGACCTCTCTAAATTACTGAAGAGAAATGATATCAGTTTGAAGACTAAGGTGCATCTGATTCAGGTCATGATCTTTTTTATTACTTGCTGTGCATCTGAGAGCTGAACAATTAATAAGAATGATAGAAGAATCTATACTTTTGAGTTGTGCTGTTGGAGAAGAGTACTGAATATCCCATGGACTGACTGCCAAAAAACCAAGTAGATATGCCTTGGAGAAAGTTCAACCAGAGTGCTCCTTAGAGGAAAAGATGGTGAAGTTTCATTGCACACTTTGGGTATGTTGCTATGAGAGGCTATTTCTGGGAAAGGGACACCATACTTGAAAAGGTGGAGGGTCAGCGAAAGAGAGGAAGACCTTTGATGAGACTGACTGACACCAAGACTGCAGCAATAGGCTCAAATATTGCTAATGATGCAGAAATTATGAGGATGGCATAGGATAGGACAAGGCTCAGATATGCTGTTTTATAGGGTCATTATGGGTAGTACTAGACTGGATGGCATCTAACAACAACGACAATGACACATAACTGCTCTTGAGAAGGTGTTTTCTTAGTTTTGTTGATGAGGTAGTGTTAGTTTAGAGTAAGTTTTAAGTCTTTCTCTCAGCTACAAAAAAGTAGGTTAAGCAAGCCCAGGGGAGTGTGGGACATAAGTGCCATGCCACGTGAAGTTACTCAAGGAACTGAGGAAGAGAACCTGAAAAGAGACAAGAACTCTCTCGCAGAGCAGACAAAGAACCTGATCCAGCGCTTTCTTCTAGAGTCAATGATCTGCATTTATTTGAAGATGCCAATGTTTCAAAGTAGAGAGGTGGGCAACATACTTCCTTGTGATTTAGTGCCTCTGAAATATCTGCTGGAGGGTCAGCTATGAGTCATTCTGACTCAACAGTATATAATAACAACATCTTCCAAGAAGGAAAAGAAAATTTGTTTGTTAAAGTTGCCCTCTTGTATTATTTTTAGTCCAGTAACCTTAGCTAAGTCAATATGTACTCCACCAGCAAGTTGATGGTCTGTGGTGGTGAAATTATAGTTAAGGATTCTTAGCAAATGATGTACTTTGAAAGTCACCCTAAATTATTTATTTATATATTTCTTTATACTAGTTTATTTTCCATAGTCTTTTTCTTGAGAGATGACTTTATTATAAACGTGAATTTCTCATGTTATTTCATCTAATAAAAAATGTAGTAATTTTCTCTAATTTAATTTGCAATGAATCTTAACAATAATTTGATTTAAATAAAGAAATATGAAAGGAGACTTAACTCAAATTTTAGTATCAAATTTTACACTAAACTTTCCATTCAATTTTTACACTCCTACCAAGATGAAAAATATTTCAAATTTAATTAAGCAGCCTCAGAATTGTCTTTTAAGAATGTCTAAATTATGTAATTTGTTCTTTACTAATATATCTGTGCACATTTTGATATTTATTGTGGAGTTCTATTTCTCTTAAACAAATATAATTAATTTCTCTCAGAACTTGGCACCAGACAAACAGTTATTTCCCTTGATTATTTGATCTGTTCTTCCACTCACCATTATTTGTTTCTGGTGAGTAAGAAATTGTACTGTAATCCCAAAAGATAGATGCTTTGAATCTACCAGTTGTTTATTGGAAACAAGATAAGCAATCTCTTGCAGTGTGATTTACTGCTTCTGAAAACCCACTGAAGGATCAAGTATGAGCTGGTTCTGACTTGACAGCACGTAACAACAACTAGATTCTGAAAGTTATGCAGTTCATTATGGTTCCTCCTTTGACCTGATGACCCCAAAGATCCCGAGATAATATATTAAAGAGTTAACACACGGGTTTTAACCCATCTCTGCACACTTGTACCAAGTCCTTCTGTATTTTTGTAAGTTTTAAGTATATGAATAAACACATTAAGTTGTAATTAATAAGGCATTTGTAGTTTAAGATACAGTTTAGCTCTTGAAGGAATTTTCATTTGAAAAATATTAAAATATACAATGTTTCTCCAGATTTCTATTTTCTCTATGTACTTCATATCAATGTGTAAGATAGTTAACTATTACGGATTAAGGATTTATCCAAAATAGTTGTTGTTGTTGTTAAGTGGCATTGAGTCATAGATGATTCCTAGTGACCTTATGAACGAAATACCTGAACACTTGTATAACTTTCATTCTCTCTTCAAGTTCATAGTTTCTGAGGCAAGCTATTTAGGAAGTGGATGTCACACCTGCTTCCAAGTTTGTTTTAACTGGGGAGCTCCTCCAAACACTGTCCACCATGGATAATCATTGCTACATTCGACACATCAGTGTCATAGTATTTAGCATCACAGCAACTGCAAGTTACCTCTGTACAGCAAATGGACAGACCACTGCTATACCGCTTAGAAGAATGTTTGACCAAAAACAATTAAAACCAGGCCTGAGGGCCACAGAGTAAAATCACCACCTTTGCCTTGGTAGCATAACTTTCTTTGCAGTAGGCCAACAGAGCCCTTTTGTTGTTGTTGTTGTTGTTGTTGTTGTTGTTAAGGGCCATTGAGTCATAGACTCACAGTGACCCTATGAATGAAAGACTTGAACACTCTATGAACTTGGAGAAATGATCCAAAATAATAGTTCTGACTAATAATAAACTTGTTTACAGTAGTACTTGACATTATTTGTTACTTTTACATTCAAGAGTAAAGTCTCTAAGTCATTTCAACAAAATTGACTTATTAAGAATGTAATTTAATAACAAAAAACCTGTAATACAGTTAAAATATAATACAATTTAAAAAAAATGGGTTTAGTTATTATTATGAACTCATGGAAAAGGAGACCCTGGTTACTTACAGCATTCAGGTGTCCTCATCTCAAAGGAAAATGAAGATGTCATTTTGTATTGCGATTCAAAATACTTATCAAATTGCTCAGACCATCCATTATTGTCTTCTAAAATAAAAAACAAAACCAAAAATAATACAAAATAAGAAAAAAAATTCACACAAGTGAAATGGTGATTGATAAAACAGAAAGAAAGAAGTTATTCTCAAACTCACTAAGATAAAAATCACTTGGGGGTACTTGCTGAAGATGTCACTCCAAGGGAGAAAGATGGGCAATCTTCTTCCATGTGATTTACTACCTCTGAATCTGCTGGATGGTCACCTATGAGTCAATTCTGACTCAATGGTACACAGCAACAGCATACCTTGTTGTTGTTGTTGTTAGGTGCCATCTACTAGAGTATGACTCATAGCAATCCTATGAACAAAAGATCTGAACTCAGGTCTATCCTATGCCATCCTCACACTTCCTAACATGCAAGAGCCTGTTGCACTGTTGCAATCACTGTGTTTTTCCTCATTTCAACTGACCTCCAATTTGGATGCTACCACTACACTGCTATATCATGTTCACAGGGTTTTCAAAAGCCTGTTATTTAAGAAGTAGATGGCCTATCCTGCTTCCTAGTCTGTCTTAAATTTGGGAGATCCAACAAAACTTATCTATCATGGGTAACCCTTATGGCATTTGATGCATCAATGGTACAGCTTTCAGTAACACAACAGCTCCAAGTTATCTCAGTAGAACAAACTGACAAACAAGTGCTTTACAAATTAGAACAATGGTTTCCCCAAACACCAGGCCCTTGGGCCCAAACACGTTTTAAATACAAAGACTTGCCCACAATGTTTGTTTGTGTATTTAAACAACAAACCTGTTGTTCTTATGTGCAATCTAGTCTCCACCCTATGAACAACAGCCCTAAACTCTGCACTGTCCTGTGTCAATTGCACTGTCTCTGACACTCCCATCCCAATTATCCCAGTCACTGAATCAATCCACCTCATAGAGGGCCTTCCTCTCCTGCGCTGTCCCTCCACCCTCCCAAGCATGATGTCCCTCTCTAAGGACCGGTCTCTCCTCACAACATGTCCAAAGTATGTTAGATGGAGCCTCAGAATTCTTGCCTCCAAGGAGCCACCCGGTTTGATACTTTCCAGGATGAATCTGTTTGTTCTCCTAGCAGTCTGTAGTACCCTCAACACTCTTCTCCAGCACCTCAGCTCAAAGGCATCAATTCTCCTTCTGTCCTCCTTGGTCATTGTCCAACTCTCTGATGCATAACAAGTGATTGCAAAGACCGTGGCCTGTATCAGACACACCTTAGTCTCCAGAGAGACACCATTGCTCTTCAGAAACAACAAACTAAAACAACAAACCTAGGATACTGAATATCCTATGGACTGCCAAAAAACTGAACAGATATATTTTGCAGGAAGTGCTGCCAGAGTGCTCTGTGGAGGCAAGAATGGCAAAGCTTTGTCTCACATTCTTTGGGCATGTTGCTAGGAGAGGTTATTCCTTCGAAAGGGGCATCATACTTGGAAAAGTGGAGGGTTAGTTAAAGAGAGGAAGACCTTCAAGCAGATGGTTTGTTTCAGTGAATACAGCTATGGGCTCAAGTATGTTGGAGGTGATGAGGATGGCACAGTATAGGGCAGGGTTCAGATCTGCTATTTCTTGGGTTTCTATGAGTCATGCTCCATTTGACAGCACCGAAAACAACATCTAGACACAGATTTGGGATAGGATCCTTATTTTTAATTTTTTGACGTTTAAAAAAATTCCGTGTTTTTTGGAAAGAAAATTTTTATTTTATACTGGTTTACTTACAAAGTTTTATACATTGTTTTCCACACTGGATCTTTCCTATTTCCTTTACCCACCCACCCCTGCCTCTACCCAGCAAATAGTGTGACCTTATGATAACCCCCTTCCCATCCTCATCCCTCTGTTTCTCCCTCTCCTCCTTGGATCCTTATAATTGCTTTACTAGCTTTTTATTTCTACAATAACGATTGTATACAGCATTTGTCTTTGTGGGACTGATATTGTTCACCTTGCATAATGCTCTCCAATTCCTCCCAAATTAAGTTGTGATTTTCAAAATCATTGCTTCTGTGTGCTGTGTAGTATTACATTGTGGGATTGCATTTTTTTTAACAGCTTATTCTTCCCATTTAATTTTTTCCCTTATTCATTAATTGTTGCACATTTTCCTCCCTGACCACCCCCTCCCTACCAGTTCACTTTTCTCTTTGAAAAGAAAAGAAAAAAAATTATTTCCTTGTTATAAAATTCCCTGCCCCCCCCCCCCAAGTCTACAGTCCATTTTACTGTGCATTTCTTTTTCTGGAAGCATGTCATGAAAATAATACCTAATCATTTATTCATTTTAAACACTTCTTTCCATCATTTATTTTAATGCAGTATACATTATATATCCCCTCTTTTCATAGGTTTCCCCCCAAACCCAATGTCAGTGCCATTTTACAACAGTGACAATATGCAGTTTTTGTCCTTTTGTGGCTGAGGTATTTCATTCAGCATAATGTCCTTCTGGTCAACCATTTTGTATAATATTTCATGAGTTCCTTGTTTTTCAATGCAGCTTAGTTTTCCAAGGTATGAATATACCACAGCTTCTCTATTCATTCATTTGTTGATGGGCACTTGGGTAGTTTCCAAGCCTTTGTTATTGTGAACAAAGCAACAATAAACATGGGCGTGCATATATCTACATGGGTGGCAGTTCTGGTTTCTTTAGAGTATATTTCCAGTAGTGGAATTGCTGGGTCAAATGGTATTTCTATTTGCAACTTTTTGAGAAAGCGCCATACAGCCTTCCATAGGGGTTGCAAAATTTTATACTCCCACCAACAGTGAATAAGGGTTCCAGTTTCTCCACAACCTCGCCAGCATTTGTTGTTTGCTGCTCTGTTGAATTTTGCTATTCTTACTGGAGTGAGATGATATTATAGTTGTTTTGATTTGCATTTCTCTTAGAGCTAGGGATTTTGCACATCTCTTCATGTGTTTGTTGGCCATCTGAATGTCTTCTTTGGTGAAGCATCTGTTCATATCCTGTGCCCATTTTTCAATTGGGTTGTTTACCTTTATCTTGTTGTGGCACTCAAGCATTCTATAAATTCTAGATATAAATCCCTTATGAGACATGTCATTGCCAAATATTTTTTCCTAGTCTGTGGCTTCCCTTTTTAACCTGTTAGAGAAGTTTTTGGATTTGCATAGAGATTTGATTCTTAGAAGGTCTCATTCATCTATTTTATCTTCTCCTGATTATAGGGTGAATGCATTATAAAGTAAATGCATTAAAAATACTATCTGTGCTACACTTTGAGAAACAGTACTACTGTTAGTTGTTTCTGAGCCAAGTTATAACTCATAGTGTTCCTACACAAAACAGAAAGAAATTGGTCCCATGCCATCTTCACAATCTTTTTGCAGCCACTTGTCTTTGGGTTGACAGTTCAATTACTTACTGTTAAGCCACCAGAGCTCCATAAAGCATAGTCATCAGTAGAAAAAGAAACATTTTATTAATATAATTCCTCATGATCTTTTATTTATATTTTAAACATAAGAGATTAATTGAACAACTAAAAATATATGTGTAGTTATATACATTGGCATGCATGCGTATAGGTTGGTATATGTGTGTGTATATGTCATGCTTCTGTACGTATAAATACATATTATGTGTGTGTAAACCTAAATGTATATGCATATTTATGTACTAATACACATAGAGGGCACAGTTATGAATAATTCTTATACATTCACTCAAGTAGAGGGCTTAGTAAAATCTAGTAAGATTTTAAAACTTGGAAGCAATGTCTTTTGGGACACAGTGGTCAATTGACAAAATATATCTCATAAAGTCTATGTTCTGCACTCTAATTTGGTACATAGTGTTGGGGATCTTAAGTGGTTGTGAGTAACCATCTAAGATACAATCATTGTTCTCAATTTATCTATTCAGTTGCTTTGTATATATTTAAAAGTTTGGCAATGAATGAGGAAGACCAAATAACAATTTATGCCTTTGAATTGTGGAGTTGTCAGAGGACTGAACATGCCATGCATTGCCAAAAAACCCCCCAAATCTGTCTTGAAAGAAGTGCAGCCAGCATGTTCCTTACATGCAAGGCTTGTCAGACTTCACCTCGTGTACTTTAGATAAGTTATTGATAAGGGGTCAGCTCTTGGAAAGGGACATACTGCTTGGAAAAATAGTCAGGGGAGAAGAGGAAGAACTTTAGTGTTGTAGACTGACACAGTGACTGTGATGTCAGACTTAAGCACGGTAGAAATTGTGAGGCTGGAGCAGGCTTTAGTGAGGGGACAGCACAGACCCCCCGGTTAGGGTGTCCGGGGAAGACGTTCCCCACCCCCGAAAGCCTAACCCTAATTCAACCTTGAACAGAACTCATTAACTCCAGAAGCAGACACAGGACCACAAACTAAGAAGCAGAGTAATCCCAAGGCTCCGGGAAGTCTTCTGAGGCCAACCTCTTATCAGATTAAAAGTAACCAATTATCCAGTTTTTTTCTGTCATACCCCCACCCTGATGTCAGTCCCATTCTACAACAGTGGCACCATGCAGTATTTGTCCCTTTGTGACTGAGATATTTCACTCAGCATAATGTCCTCCAGGGTCACCCACTTTGAATAATATTGCATGAGTTCCTTGTTTT